TAATGATGAACGATGATATCACTGCAAAGAATGGATGTGGCTGGCCAAATTAAATTAATATATAATATAATATATAATCTTGTATGTGTAATGCATGCTTGTTTTATCATTACTATATACAGTACACCTGATAAAGAGTAGTATTTCGGGTTTTTGGACACTCATGTAAGCATCTGGTTTGGGAACAGACTAGTAACTGTTGTCAGATGCATATGGTAGTCTGCGGTCTAGAGGGGAAATAATTGGGAAACTTGGGACACATTATTGATGATTCAATCTTGATAAAGAAATTACTGGTTTCTACTAATGAAGATTAAATGAGGGTTTGCTCATTAATAACTGTCATCACTCTAGTATGCATGAATGTGATAAGCCAAGCAATGGCCCTCCTGCTGTGACTCCTATTGAGTGACATTTGGTATGTGAATGAATCTGTTTTGATTTATTTTTGCATTTTGGGATGTCTGCTGTGTGCTTAGTGTGTTTTGGTTTGTGTCGGTCTCTCTGTGTCCTGTTTCCTGTCACATGCTCTGGAGGGAGTTGGTGGTTTCTGTGCTCCCCTGTGTGCATCTTCTCACACCTGGCTCAACTTGCCACCCTGCACACCTGAGGCCTGTACTATGAAGGGGATTTGACCTACTCAGATTTGATTTGGGATTATCAAGGAAATCCAGGGTTGACAAACCGAATGCCTACAATGGTGTTAAACAGTTCTACAATAATGTGATAGTTAGTTGATTTGGTGTCAACCTAAATGGAGTTTGTGCAGGTTTTTCAAAATGGTGCATGCTTCGTATTTTACCCAGAAGAATGCACAATGATAATGTCAGTTGGCTGCTCATTGACTAAATTCATAAGTAACTTTACAGTGCTCTTGTTGTAATTCTCTATTTTGTCTTGTTTAAAAGAATAAAAATCCATGGGAGAGGGGTAGGCTAATAATAAAAATAAAGTGATACATTCATTGGGGGAAAAAAAATCAAATCTACAAATAAAGAATTCTCAAGTTTTTTTGTCAAGGAACTTTTGTGTAAAAAATTCAAGACTTAGGCCATCGCTTCACTTTGCAAGGCTGCAACTTCTCACCACAGATGCCACTACCATGTATTATACCAGCAGTGGAATGTCAAAAGGATTTAGCAATGAGAAAGTACTTGTGATTTTAGCCCACAGTCACCATATTATTATATGCTCAGGGAATTTCCGAGTTTTGTTCTTGTAAATATATCACTTTCATCTCGGATTATTACCCCCCTCTCCTGGCTCCATATTTTTTGGACACGTAAAATAGTCAATCTAAATAGTCCAATGTGAAAACATTAAGGATAATTCAATTACACATGGGCTACATCTCAGAAATTGACCCGTTAATGAATTAATCTCCTCCATAAGTCAGAGGCTGCAGGGCTACCTGTACAAATGTAATGCTGTATGAATGTGTTAAGAATAATCTCATTCCAACAAACATTTCAGCTGCAACCCTAGTGGAAAGCACACAAGTCAAGATGAAATCTAAAATCAAGTAGTGTGTAATAGTTTTTATCATTAGCACAAAAGTGGTGTGTAGCCCACACCGCTCTTCATGTGTATGGGGGTAACCTCGACATAACCACGAAGAAAACCTGCTCAGAGCAGTTTAGAGATGCAGGTTAATTGCCTTGACAGCATACCTTGGGTAAATCTTATCAACCTTTCCCAGTGTGTATGGAGGACGGATTCTGACATAAAGGGAAATAAATACAAAAATAAACAAATGCTCAATAAATAAATAAGCATCCGCTTAAATGCACAAAAAATACAGTAAATAAATAAATGTAGGCAGTAATTAAATTATACAATGGGAAATAAATGTGTTTATCTCTTTAAATTAGCTTCTTTATTTATTCACCTTTGTAATAATTACCTTATATATTTAATGTCTGTTATAATCTTCAACTTTATTTATTTTACTTAGGTATTTATTTATGTGTGTGTGTGTGTGTGTGTTTTAATATTTTGAGCATTCCTTTGCATTTCTACCCTATTTCCACAACAGTTATTTATTTCTGCCTGCTCTTTTTACATTTCTCCATGCATTTCTGCCTCATTATGCAAATGGGGAGGGGCTGTGTCTCAAGGGGTAAACTTCTCGCTTATTGGTGGATCAGTCAGACGACGGAGGTTGACGCTAAACTCACACATCAACAAGCCTTGCTCCCCACACAGTCACAAAAGATGGTTTCCTTCAGTGAACTGAAGTGATTAGCAACTGTATCTGAGAACAATACTACCAGCCATGTCTTCCTTCCTTTTCGTGTAGACGCTGTGACAGACAGTGTTTTCAGTTTGCGGCATGCACGGACACAGAACTACAGTAAAGTTAGCCGTTGTTTGTGAGAAGCACACGGTAAGCTAGTAGCAGAACTCACCAGCCGTTAGCCCAGATTCACTACTTTTTGAGTTTGAGTACTGCTCACAAGCCTGACACATGCGGTTTTTGTACCATAATTTTTTCGAAAACATTTTATGTACAAGTCAGTTTCTGGATAACGTACACAATATATTTAACCTTAGCTATATTGGAGCTATGCATCCCAATTATGCCTCTTAAATCTTTATATTCTGTATTAAAGACCTGTTATGCATCTTTTCTTTTACCTCGTACAAAATACAAAACTGACTGTGCTTGAAGCAAAGGCCAAGTATTTGACTCACAGCTAGAGCTATGTCAGACTACAGTCAAGTAAATCTGCCTGTCATTGGCTGGACAAAACTATTAAAAGCACATGCATGCCAGGGGTGTTCAGGAAGATAAGGGCACACCATTGACTTGCATCAGCTTCTGGAAAACATTTTGCTTGGTGATAAAATTAGAGCTTGTCATCTACTGTAGGCTATACACAAACATGATGGGATGTGACTGGACAGAATGGGCTTTTGTATGGTCCTGAATTTCTTGTTTTGGGTGTTAGGATAAGGAGAGTAACAATGAACTGCTGAATTTTTTTTTTGTGAGTTTGGGCTGTTGTTGAGTTTTGCAAATGGGCTATAACCAGTGCTGTGTGGAGAAGAAATATACATGCAAACCACAGATTTTTAATCCTGGATCAAAGTTTACACAAGATCGAGAAAGATGGAGTTCTATTCAGGTACAGGAAGTCAGGAAGGAATTGATCAATTCTGTGGCTGACTAAAGAAAAGCAAAATGGCTGTCATATGTTTGTAAACATTCAGGCTATTTGCGTGGATTAGCACATCCAACCAGTCACTAAACAACATGCCTAGTAGTTTTGAAATCTGGACCTGTGTGTTGCTCCTTACAGCTTTAACTGCTCATTGCTACAGACTGAGTGCATCTTTCCTTTCAATTCATCCTGCCTTTAGCCATTTATGTAATCAGTTTGTTCCAGGGATTTATTTTGCATTGCAGAAAGCGGCTCCATTCCTAGGCATGTCGCTCTGTCTACTAAAGGCATTGCTCTTGAGTAGGATTTGTAAATTGTGTTGTCATATGCATGTAGCAAGACCACAATGCAATGCAAGTGCACAACTGTAGCTCAACACGCAAGTGAGCACTTGCTTACTTGCTTGAATCACCACATGTGGTGCACAGTACGACACTCAACCCAGAATCAATTAGCTCTGCATGCTCCTGTCTAAGCTACTGTATGTGCCTTGTTTGTCAAAGTTCAGAACTGATTTAATTAATTAGCCCGAGTGATATCTAACCATGCAGACAGAGTTTTGGTTTTATTTAACTAGATTTTTAAATATCGAAATCTGAGATTTCTGCCCTGAATAAAATGGCCGTGGATGTAATTTGGAAACAAAAGATCCTATTGAAAACAGAATGCAGCATGTACTATAAATTAAAAAAATTTCATCATCAATCATTGTATTGCATGCGGCCCAAATCTCAAATCCCAGGCCAACCTGGTCTGAATAATAACCACTGTGCATTAGCAAATAAAATATGTGGGGAATGTATAATGCCAGATTATGCTTTATTACATTATTTTTGGGTATTCTGCCTGACAGGCAGAAAAGATGGGGGGAGAGCAGGGGGATGACATATACAAAGGTCCCTGGCTGGGTCAATACTGTAGAGATTGTAAAGGCCTTTGAGGCAAATTTGTGGTAATGAGCTACATGAAAGTTTTAATAAAATTGACTTGACTACTCCCAACCAACACAAAATGGTCATATTGTGCATAAAAATGTTCACTGTCAGTATATTTATATTTGCTTTCCAACGATATGTTACTGGTAACTTGTGCACAATTAAAAGATCAATACCATTCTTATATGTACGGTACATAAGAAGCTAATAGCTGCTTTTCAAGAGTTTAATACAGATATTGAAAGCAGGGGGAATCAGATAGCCTTGCCTTGTCAAACAATAACAAAATCCTCCAGTACCTAATGCTCACTAATTATCGCTTTATGAGATATGACAAGCATCATTGTCACCGACATATAGAGATAGGGGAGTAGAAGGGTTTAAAACTGAAACACCTGAGTGTTATTGAAGGGTCTGGGTGCACCTTAGCCTGAGGTGGCACTTCAAAGCCCTACTCTATCTTTGATAGCTCTGGAGAGTGACATTTACTGGACTTAAAAGTCTTCAGAGCTTTCAGCATCAAGGAAAGGTAGGTGGGAGGGTGTGAACTGATTTTCGATAGTTCTCACAGGAAATGTTACTGAAAGCATGCTTGAAAATCTCTTTGGTAGAAATTTAGACATGCAGCCACACAGAGTGTACACAAACACCCATAGATATTAGCTAGGTGATGAGAGAACAATCTTGTATTCACTGTTTCCAATATCAACCACACAGACGTCAAATCACTTAATCATCTGTTTTTTCCCTGATTTAACAGTAAGCCTCCATTCAAAGCGGCAGATAATAATCAGCCCCATGAACCATTAAGAATGACAAATTCCACGTAATGCCAAGATCTCCCTGGCCGCAGCAGAATTACATAACACTGCCATCCAATAAATAAATATGGATCATTTACCTTGAGTCCGGTGTGTGCGAGAGCTGCTGGACTCTGTCTCCCCTTCTTTTTTATCACTGCCTATCCCCAACGTGAGTTTTGGCAAAACGCAGCCTTCGTCTAGCCAATGCTGGTGTGTATTTGTATGAATCTGCACAGCTCGGAAGATATCTAGTGTTTCTGATGCCAGCGAGTAGGAGCTACACGCGGCATGCTCAATGGTGTGAAATCGTGGGGGGGAGAGAGCAGCTGAGATGGATAGAGGGAGAGGCAGAGGGGGTGGAATCAGAGAGCGACAGAGAGTGAGAGGGCTTTGTTTGCACGGGGAACTCTCCAAGGACAACCCAAGCACATCTGTGAAGTGGAGATGTGCTGTTCAGTAAAATTGTGGTAGAAGAGATAGAAACATAAATGTGTAGCACAGGGGTGTAGAATGTAGACGTTTGCAATCAAGCTACTGAAGGCTGGAAACTGAAGTGATATAATTAACACATCTACTTTTATTCAGTGCTGAAAGAACTAAGTGATTAATCAAGTGACATTCGTGTTTGACAATTTTTGAAATGAAAAGTAATCTATCAAGCAAAATGTACATTTACTGGTTCCAGCTCCCCAAATGTAATAATTTTCAGCTTTTTGTCTCATTGTAAATTTAATATTTTGGGGGTCTCAACTCTTAAGTGGACAAAGCAAGCTACCTGAAGATGTTAACTTGGCTCTCAGAACACTGTCACGTTTTTAAAAACTAAAGTATTAACTGTAAATTGAATTGTATAAATAATCATTAGTACATGTGACAGAAAAAGGGAAGAATCTCAAGGGGATAAAAACTATAAAATGGACTTAATTATTGAGCACAACTAAGCATTTCACTGATTATGATAAACAGTATACTGCTATTTAAAGAAGCACAGACCCCAACACATTCTCTACATTCAGACACTTCTGCATGACCAATGTAAACATCCATGCTAGTGTAACTGGGTAGACCTGTATCAGCCTATTTTGAGTGCAGTGGTAGTGTGATGGGTGAGCACCTAGAGTGAGTGTGCATTTGGTGGGTGTGTTTTTTTCACATGGGTTAATTGCATGGGGATGGGCGATGGCAGACAGGTGTGCTTGGGCAAGCTATTTAACCAGGCTAAGGAGTCTTCTGCTTGTCTCCTGGGTGCAGGTACAGAGTTGTGATTTTGAATGTCTTCTTCCTTGGGTGTATATATAATTATGTGCGCTGGTGGCAGTTTCTGTCGTGTGGAATGTTTTATAAATTGCTGTTGTCTAAGAGTCTTCTGCTTGTCTCCTGGGTGCAGTGTGCTGAGGCTGCTGATATCTGAAATGGTGTGCCACACGGCTGGGTTGTAGTCTGGGGAGCCGGCAGTGCAGAGCCACTGCTACTTAGTAGAGTTACCAGAGGCCCCAAGCAGTGAGGAGGCCACAACCGGCCAACCTGTGACCAACAGCAGACCGTTCCTGTCGTGTTTTGCTTCGCCCCATACAGGAAAACGAAGCTGAGCACACCCAGCCACGGAGAGCCGCATTCCCGTTTAACTGACCCTGAGTTTCCCCCATTTTGAACTGACCTTTTAACTTTCTTAGCTTCAGCTTTGTTTTAACCCTTTTTTTAATGCCTATTCTGTACAAATAAACTTGGAGGTTATATTTTGCACAGCTTGTAGTATTGTTGCCCACTTATTTTACTCACTGGCTGGTCAATTCTGAACTAGCTTAGGGTGTCATACTAGTTTACAATTTTACACAAATGTTCAGTTTTGTAGCAAACTGCATACAGAAATAAAGAGAAATTCTGCAAAACAGTGTTTGTGTCATCAATGTAAAGGGAAAAACAAAAGTAAGCTTGTCTGTACCATGCCTGCATCACATGTTGCAGATGGATGTCGCATAACCTTTATAGTTTTCACATGCTGGTACTCAGAACGTAACATGAGAATAACATTTGTTATTTTTGGTAGTCAACAGCAAGCTAATAGTTTCTCTCACTCATCTTAATGTTATGTGATTTACTAAAATTGCATGCACAAAGACAAAACATATATGGATTACACCTCTCAGTTTTGGAGTGATTCAGTTCAGCGCATGCTCTGTTGCGACGACAGTCTGTACTGTTTGCCTCACTGTGTCCACTTGCTGTGTGTCTAGTTGTCTTGGTTTAGGAGTCAATTTGTGTATAAAATGTACAGCATGTTGTGTATATGTGAGGCAATGTATGTATAGATGGTGGATAATAAAGAATCTAATTTAAACTTCTTTTTTTTTTGCACCCCAAAACATATTTAAGATGGTATGTGACAAGCATTAGAGGAGAATGAAGAGTGGAAGATATGATCTGCAAGGAGCTGAGAGTGAGGAGGAGGCGGCCTGGCAGAGGACAGATAATTCTTGTGTTACATAAAATCACACACACACAAACATACACAAACACACAAGCACTGCCTACACACACGTGTTCTAAGTCTCCTTTTGGCTCTCTCTCCTTCTCAGTTTCACACATGCACGCATACACTTTTACAGAGTCAAAGCTGCAGTAGGGAAATCTTTTAAAATAATTTGTGATATTTGCTAAAACTGTCACTATATCCTGACAGTAGAACATGAGACAGATAATCTGTAAAAAAGAAAAATCAGGGTTCTTCTTACAGCTTCTAATGACAATAACAAGAATTCACTGCTCCCTGAAGTAACCAACCAATCAGAGCCTAGAGCAGTCTCTAAGTGTCTCCAGTGTCAGTCACTGCTTGTGTACATGCTGCACAGCCAACAACAGCGTACAGTAGAAAACACGCATGACCACATCCCAGCTGCACACGAAGCTTTGTGCTCATTAAATTCAATGCCATGGTGCTCGCATCGAGTGACAAAGAGGCATGATGACAAACAGTGGAGAATAACTTCTGAAGGGGGACAGTGGTGTACTAGTCTCTCATCTGCCTGTTAGACGTTGTCTCTTACAGGTTTTGTTTTACAAATGCACCCCCAATAAAGGAGTGGTTCTGCAGGTGGTGACCACAGAGCACTTCTCAGTTCCTATGCTTCCTGGCTGATGTTTTGGTCATTTTTGAATGCTGGCGGTGCTTTCACTCTAGTGGTAGCATGAGACGGAGTCTACAACCCACACAAGTGGCTCAGGTAGTGCAGCTCATCCAGGATGACACATCAATGCGAGCTTTGGCAAGAAGGTTTGCTGTGTCTGTCAGTGTAGTGTCCAGAGCATGGAGGCACTACCAGGAGACAGGCCAGTACATCAGCAAACGTGGAGGAGGCCGTAGAAGGGCAACAACCCAGCAGCAGGACCGCTACCTCCGCCTTTGTGCAAGGAGGAGCAGGAGGAGCACTGCCAGAGCCCTGCAAAATGACCTCCAGCAGGCCACAAATGTGCATGTGTCTGCACAAACGGTCAGAAACAGACTCCATGAGGGTGGTATGAGGGCACGACGTCCACAGGTGGGTGTGCCAGAGAACACCAAGATTGGCAAATTTCATCTTCACAGATGAAAGCAGGTTCACACTAAGCACGTGACAGACGTGACAGAGTCTGGAGACGCCGTGGAGAACGTTCTGCTGCCTGCAACATCCTCCAGCATGACCGGTTTGGCGGTGGGTCAGTAATGGTGTGGGGTGGTATTTCTTTGGGGGGCCGCACAGCCCTCCATGTGCTCGCCAGAGGTAGCCTGACTACCAGTAGGTGCTGAGATGAGATCCTCAGACCCAGTATGTATATATACATATATATATGTGTGTGTGTATATGTCTCAAGTTCTTCACACAATCAGCACAACAGAAGTCACTGTCGACTAAACTGTGGACCACTTGCATAGCTTTCACAAAGGTATTCACATTTGAAAAACACATCTTTCAAATTTTAATTTGTTTCAAATTTGTTTTCTCACTCAAACTCTACCACCACAAAAACTCTGTATTTACACTCTGTTTTGCACATCTTTACATACTATTGTCAAAACTGTTTAAAAGACAAACATAACTAAACTCCTAATTGGGACACTGATTGCTATTGTTCATTCCTTGATGACCTCTATTAAAGACTTGCCAGATGAGGAAAGGGGTCAAGTGAGGTGGACTCCAGAAGGTTTTGTAATAATTGGGATGATGTGGCGTTTCGCAGTTTGCTTCTGTCACAGAGTGGTTAACAGCCCATCCCACAATGGTGTCACTTTTCCTTCCACCTTACTCTCCATTCCTCAGCCCCATAGAAGAACTCTTTTTCTCATGGAGGCGAAAAGTTTATGACCACCAGCCACATGATCTCTCTCTCCCTCTTTGATGCAATAAATGCTTGATGTCTGGATATATGCAGATGAATGCCAGGGATGGATCAGGAATGCAAAAAGAATCTTTGTCCGATGGATTGCACACAAGGATGAAAACTTCTGGAGTATACTGCAGCATTTCTGTCACTGTAATGGAATCTTGGTTTAGGCTAAATCATTCCTTTTTTATTTATTCAGGGACGTTTCACTGAGAAGAAGCCTCTATTTGAATAAATAAATAAAAGATAATCTTACAATTGACAATAGCAAAACATATTGTAATTCTGCTTGTTGTTACTGATTTGTCATGGTCATTTTATAATGAGTGACAAATTGTTACCATGTGTTTTGATTGCATTAGTGTGAGCTGAATGTTGCATGTTGCAATAATTTAGAAATTGTAAAAAAGATGTAATAATGGCCTTTATCAATATCGTAACATTACTGTATTTTGTACTTGTACCGACCCATTTAAGTTTGTCCATATGCCTGCATATGCAGGCACGGCCACTTCAGTTTACACTTACAAGATTTAATTGAAAGCTTATGTTACGGATAGTCTATAGTGTTGGAATGAAATATGACTATATATGTGAAATGCAACATGTGAAGTAGTTAATAGGAGTAACATGTAAGGACAGTCAGAGGTAGTTCTTAATTACCTGTAGTGATGTTCCCAGGCAGAATGTTAATTTCATTAGATGAAAATGTTTGTTTAAAGGCTGTTTAAGGAATGAGTATTTGATATGGTGTGATACCTTAACATGGTCAAGAAGTTGCCTTGAGTATGGGTTTTCCATAGTTGTTCTTCATATTATAAAGATGTCAGAAGCTCTTACCCACTTTGACATAAAGTCTATTATATTGTAGGCTAATTTATTCCCATGCATGCTGCTCAGCAGCACAATGTCCTCTCGTGCCAGGAGTTACTATTGTCATGGGGACACTGAAACTTTGCAAACCCACCCTCCACCCAGTGACATGAAATATAAAAAATTGTTGGTGATTGTTTCTGGTCAGGAGTGACACAGCTGTAGGAAGGCATGGGTTCTCCATTAATCCTCATTTTCCAGTCTCATCTGCCAATTATGACAAATGTATCCACTGAATCACCCGTTATGTAGTAAAATAGAAAAACAACGTGCAAAAAGCAAATGTCAATGTCAACATTGTCAGCTCAGAAAGGAAATTGTGCTCACACGAGCTCTTTCAATTACAGTTTGCACAATTCTACTTTTCGCTGCCTGCTAATGTCATCCAGCAAAAATTACAGTGAGCAGAACCTGAATCTATGCGTGATTCAAAATTCTTTTCAAACGTGAGGAAGCAGGCCTCAAAGGGAGAGTGATGAAAAATGTTCGCCCACATAGTTGATCAGGGATGTGTGACCTTCATGACGCGGCAGCTGGAGGACTGCTTGTATTGTAGATTTCTCAGTCAGACACCATCTTTGTCTCTCTCTGTCTCCCTGAATGACTAATCGGAAATCCTCTGGCGGAAGCAAAAATTTTGCACGTCCTTACTTCATCAAGTAATTTTTCTTTCACATGGTCTGGCATGCACAGTCTCCCAGCTCTGTTTGGCATTTAACACATTTCAAATACCACTTATTATCTGAAGACTAGACCTTTTAAGAAGGAAGATCATGAAATAATGTCTTGCTTCCTGTTGATCAACGCCTTAAAAATTTAAACCAATCCATTCATCCATCCATCCATCCATCCATCCATCCATCCATCCATCGTCAACCGCTTATCCTGCATACAGGGTCGCGGGGGGTGTGTGCTCATTGATGGCAAACCCATCTCCACCACTGATACATTAAAATTTCTTGGGATACACATCAGTAACAATCTTAAATGGAAAATCAACACAGATAATATCTACAAAAGACTTTTTTATCTTCGACAGCTTAAGAAATTTACAGTAAGGTCTCATCTCCTGCTCCGCTTCTACATGGCCATCGTCGAAAGCATCCTCAACTCATCCATCACAGTCTGGTTTGGCAGTCTTGACTCATTTTCCCGGAAGAAATTACAGCATATCATTAACAGACCATCTAAAGTTATCGGTTCACCTTTATCATCCCTTGAATCACTCTATCACAAACGGACACTATGCAGAGCCCACATGATAATTTCTGATACTTCCCATCCTGCACCCTTCGCCTTCACTACTGCCCTTTATATCAAACTACTACTTTATATGTTAATGTCTAAATATATATTGTCTAAATGTTGGAACCTGTATCAAAAAGCTGTACTGGAAACAAATTCCACCAGCCTGGCTGTGTGGTCATTAAATTAAACATGTCTTTGGACATTGGGAGGAAGCTGGGGCACCCGGAGAGAACCCACGCGAACACGGGGAGAACATGCAAACTCCACACAGAAAGTCTGGGGTTTCAACCCACAACATTCTTGCTGTGAGGCGACAGTGCTGTACCACTGCGCTGCCCTAAACCAATTCATAATTTATTCAAAATGAATTTTCCTTCTTTTACAATTGTTTTTCCTGCAGTGGTGTATAGC